CATCACTCCCTTACTCTTTAAGGTGTTTATATTAAATCAAGACTTTGTTATCCGCTGGAATAGGGGCACGGAATAGAAAACTCAAAAATGCTGACGGTGCTAGAATAGAAAAAACCCTGTCTACTGTGAAGGACCACACAATCTGTTGGGCTCCGTGGGATGACATGGCGGCTCAGTGGTTAGCGCTACTACCTCACAGTGCCAGGGACCTAGGTTCAATACTCAGCCTTTTTGTGTGGGTTTCCTCCGGGTGCCCCCGTTTCCTCCCACAATCCAAAGACGTGCAGGTTGGGGTGGATTGGCCATTGCTAAATTGCCCCATAGTGTCCAGGGATGTGCAGGCTAGGTGGATTCACCATGGGAAATGCAGGGATAGTGTATGGGGAGGGTCAGTGTGGACTTGATGGGCCAAATGGTGCCTTTGCACACCACAGGGATTCCATGATATGTCAACCAATAAATTGAAAAATCAGGACTTGGGGCAACCTTGCAAGGACACAGATCCATGGTTAGCAAATCTGCAGATAATTAAGAGTATACACTCCACACAGTATGCTTGGCTACTTCTTGTTTTTAATTCTATCCATCTGGCCTTATTTGAGAAGCCTTCTAAACTGTTTATCTCCTTATTGCCATGATCAGTATTGCAACATCACCATCTTTTTTTTACGCCATTCTATCTTACCACAGCTCCCACAGGCAGAGAATACCAAAGATTCATAACCTTCTGAACAAAGAGGTTTCTCCTCATATCAGTCCTAAAAAGCAGGAACACACAAACCACTGCAATACAAGACCTTTGGTTCTCCTCTTACCCTTCCTCATTTCATGATGAGGTCATGTTTGCTGCTTTCTGATCCTAGAATCTTCTAGAATCTAAGGCATTCCGCATGAACAAAACCCACAGCATCGACCATTTCTGCGGTTCAGGGTTTTAAAGCTCAAAGTACAAGTTGGCAGGTCCAGGGGATTTGTCACCACCTGATTCTGCTATTTTATCCAATGCCAGTTCTTAATTTATAATGATTTGTTTCAGTTCCTCGCTCTTATTTAGGCCATCAGGTCCCCATTTTTTTCCAGAATTTTTGCCAGGTTAGGCAGATCGGCTGTGCTAAATTGCCCAAGGATGTGCAGGTTAGGTGGATTGGCCATGGGAAATGCTGGGTTACAGGAGTAGGGTGGGGGGTGAGTCTGGGTGGGATGCTCTTCAGATGGTCAGTGTGGACTTGATGGGCCAAATGTCCTGCTTCCACACTGTAGGGATTTGATGATGAAGAAAATATGAGTTTAACATCCCCTTCCTTATTCTCCATTATGTTTTCACTTGGATCTGTCGGAAATGGGATCAACTTATATTCTTATATCTAATTTATATACCTATAGAAATGATCAACATTTTTTTACATCTCTTGCTTGTCTGCTCCCGTATTGCCTTTCCTCTTCAAGTTCTCCTTTGCTGTATTCTGAGATCTTTTCAACCCTCAGGTTTACTATTCTTCGTGGCTACATCGTTAGACCCGTCTTCAAACTAATACTATTTTACAACTCTGCTCGCAGAAAACTCGCACAAAAGCAACAGGTCAAATGGCTGCCAGTAACCATCTGAGATTGATAAATCACAGTTGACTACTTTTGTCTATTGAAAACCAACTATAAATTTTTTAAATGCTAAATATCGTACATTCTTATGTAGTTCCCAATTTACCTTAGCCAACTTGTTACTTGTTGATACAAGTCTCCTGTTGTGCACTTCACTGGATCACTGTCAAAGTCAGTATAAAACCCAAAGTCGGGAAGCCAGGTTCAAGTCCCACCTGTTCCAGGTGTGTGTATAATATCCCTGAATGGGTTGATTAGAAAATATTGAAAATCCTATCATATTGTGGTCACTCTTCCCTACAGGCACCTTTACTGCAAAGATAATGCACCTTTTAACATTAGAGAAGGGACAGAATCTTCCCCTTTATTCCATATTTCATGCTCTATCTCTGAAACCAATTTACAATCTTTGAAACGAAAACAGAAATTGCTGAAAAACCTTAGCAGGTCCGGCAGCATCTGTGGAGAGAAATCAGAGTCAATGTTTCGAGGTCGAGTGGCTTTTTCTCGGAGCTCTGGACCCCAAACGTTAACTCTGATTTCTCTCCACAGAATTTCTCTCCACAGATGCTGCCAGACAGGCTGAGTTTTTCCAGCCATTTTAATTTTTGTTTGCAATCTTTGATATTTACTACTTAACCAAATCTGGGAAAACAGCTGCCAATATCCAAAATGGTTATCCTCCCAAATTCTTCCCCCATGGTTTGTAGATGCTGGGACATTTTGACTCTGGGCCTGGGATCCATACCAGGCGTGTTTGAGGCTGTCATTAATAATGTCATTCACAGGCTGATCGAAACAAGGTCACCTTGCCTGCTTTGGAACATGCTATTAAACAGTTTGCAATTTCAGAATTCCCAAGGTCTGTTTTCAAACTCTCTTTGTGTTCATGCACAGAAACAATGATGCAGCCTCCTGCCCTCTTCATAAGGTCATACAGCACGGAAATAGACTCCTTAATCCAACCGCTCCACGCCGAATGTAATCCCACCTGCCTGCTCCTGGCCCATATCCCTCCAAACCTTTCCTATTCATGTACTTATCCAAAAGTCTTTTAAATGTTGTAATTGTGCCCACATCCACCACTTCCTCAGGACGTTCATCCCACACATGAACCACCCTGTATGTACAGAATTTGCCCCCAATGTCTTTTTTAAAATCTGTCTCGTCTCACCTTAAAAATGTGCCCCCTACTCTTGAAATCTCCCATCCTAGGGGAAAGACACCTACCATTAACCCTATCTATACACTTCAATTTTATAAATCTCTATAAGGGTTACCCCTCAACCTCCTATGTTCCAGTGAAAAAAGTCCCAGCCTATCCAGCCTTTCTTTATAACTCAAACCTTCCACACCTGGCAACATCCTGGTAAATCTCTTCTGAACCCTCTCCAGCTTAATAATATCCTTCCTATAACTGTGCGACCAGAACTGGACACAGTACTCCAGAAGAGGCCTCACCAATGTCCTGTACAACCTCAACATAATGTCCCAACTCTTACACACAAAGGACTGTGAAATGAAGGCAAGTGTGCTAAATGCCATGTTAACCACCCTGTCTATATGTGACGCAAACTTCAAAGAATTATGTATCTGAACCCCTAAGTCCCTCTGCTCTACAACACTACCCAAGTATTTACCATTAGGCTAGAATACTGCAAAATGAGTGGAGATACCTTGGCTTTTTGGGTCATTTGAACCAATCTGACAGTCAGGCAGGAAATGAATCTCACAGCACAAGAGGCCATTCAGTCCATCATGCCTGTACCATTGCCTTTTGTTCTCCCTACAATTTTGAATCTTTCAAACATGGGACACAAATGGAACAAAGTGTAGATCAGATAACTCCAAGGTTGGGTTCATAGTATCATTAAAAACATCTATTCCCTTCTCTGCAACATCACTCGACTTCACCTGTTTCAGCTCAAACCCTCATCTATTCCATCTGGACTGTACCATTCAAATCTACTCCAGGTTCCTCTGGAAACTTAAGAGTCAACCAAAACTCTACTGCCCTCAGCTGAACTTGCAGCAACAAATTTCAATCTCCAACACCCCTATGCTTGCTGACCTACATTGTTGCATGACTGTGAACAATCACTTTTAAAACTCTCTTCCCATATCAGACAGCATCTCTCTTTGGCTGCTCACGATGGCAAAGTGCTGGCAGTACCCAACCAGCCCACGCTTGCCACATGCTAAACACATTAGATTTGCTTCATTAGTCCAACATTAGATTCTATTCTGCGATTGGACATTTGCAAAAATTCTCATCTTCGTTTTCAAGAAAGCACAACAACCCCTCTACTTCCTCAGGAGGCCAAGGAAATTCGGCATGTCGACAAGGACCCTCACCAATCGTTATCGACACACCATAGAAAACATTCTATCTGGATGCATCACGGCTTAGTCTGGCAACTGCTCTGCCCAGGACTGTAAGAAATTACAGAAAGTTGTGAACACAGCCCAGACCATCACACAAACCAACCTTCCATCCACTTCTCGGTGCCTCGGGAAGGCAGCCAACATCATCTAAGACCCCTCCCAACCCAGTTATAGTCTCTTCCAACCTCTTCTGTCAGGCAGAAGATACACGCACAAGAACAGCTTCTTCCCTGCTGTTATTAGACTTCTGAATGGGCCTCTCAAATTTAATGCTGATCTCACTTTTTTGCGCCTTCTCTGCAGCTGTAACATTGTATTACTCACTCTGTTCTATTACCCAGCACTTTGTATGGTATGATCTGCCTGCACTGCACGCAAAACAAAACTTTTCACTGTCACAGTCACAAAGTTCTGAGGAAGGGTCACTGGACCCGAAACATTAACTCTGTTTTTTCCTTCACAGATGTTGTCAGACCTGCTGAGCTTTTCCAGCAACTTGTTTTGGTTCCTGATTTACAGGATCCGCAGTTCCTTCGATTTTTAAAACTTTTCACTGTACCTGGGTATTGACAATAATAAATCAAATTTAAAAACAAAACCCTTCGTATCCATAACCCTCCCTATCTTTGAAACCACCTTGGAACCCTCCAGGATATCAACTCAGCGGCAAAGGCTGTAAGCTCCAGAATTCCCTCCCGAATCCTCTCCGTCAATTTTCTTCTTCCCCTAAGACATCTCAAAAACCTCCTCTTTCATCGAACTTTTGCTCACCTGTCTTAACACTGCCTGACGAGGGCACAGTGACAGATTTTTCTGTATAACACATGGTTTTACTGAGTGAAAGGTGCTACTTAAATGCAGGCTGTTTTTGTTTTTAAAAACTCTGTAGATTTTAGGACGAGCACGGACTTAAAGTAGCAAAGAGTCCCCCTGTGTTTTACTGCTAGGAAGGTTGGAGGGGTTTCAGTTTTAAAGTAAAACCAGGGAACAGTAATTACAACTTCAGAAACATGCACTTATAATCCAAACCTTTATTGCATTTTGAGTACAGTTTGTTTTTAAACGAAAGATCAGTTTGTTTGAGTGACCAACACCAGTGAACTCTGTGTACCACACTTCAGTCTGTCAGTTATCCCCACCCTGAGAAAAAAGCGCAAATCCTTATATTTCTACATTCGGTTTTGTTGGTGTGGCTCAGACTTGACTTGGAATGAACCAGAGCAGTGAAAGGGGTTTAAATCTCCGTGCTCGTGAACAGTGAGGTCAGGTTAAAGGTTAAACGCATAGGCAATGATGTCTGGGCATCTCAACAGTGCTTCCTTCTGAATGCCCAGTGGCGTCTGCAAGTGAGAGACCTGGAAGTTCAGGATGTCGATGTCTGAAGCCGCGAACGTGGCAGTGACGGAGACCCTCTCGTACATAGTGAAGTCCACAGTCTTCCCCGCCATCACAATCAGGCTGCGCAGGAAGCGCTCCCGAAGGGTAGACCGCGACCGCTGCTCCTCCTTGAGGCAGCCGTTGTTTGATGCTTGGATGGAGGACGGGGCCAAGGCGTGATACCGTGGTGATGTCGGATCGAAGCCTCGGCTATGCCCGTTGGGACCCCTGGGCAGTCGTACAACTGACACCGGCGTAGCCATCTGAAGGAGCTGCGCGGGAATAAATACAGAATGCACGGGAATCAGAGGGTCAGCAGGGACTGCAATCATCATTAAACTCAGCACAAACAGACCGAGACAAGCCTTCTGTTCAAAGCTGGACATACCAACATTCACGCGTCCCTGGTAATTCCCCACTCACAGCCTCGCTTGTCCTGGAATTCCCCACGAGGGTCACTGCACTGATGGGTGTCTGAGCGCACCAGGTGAGGCAGCCAGACTGAATATAGGATCTTACTTTTCTGTTTAGTTCACTGCTAAGTTTCACTCCATTCATCCTAACCAAGGTGATGGCTTCACCCCTCCCCCCCTGCCAGTACAAACTCTCACAGACCCCTGCTAGTGTGATTCCCCACCCCCATCATTCAGACAGCCCATGGCATCCCCCTTTCCCCAAAGATTCGCAGGAGCCACCTATCATCCTACTCCTCAAAGATCTTCTTCTCAGAACTGCCTCTCTCCCACCCTCCACTCTATTCACTCCTGTGCCCCTTCCTTCACCCTCTAATCCCTCCTTCATTCCCCCTTTCCATTTCTTCTGCTCTTTCCTGCTCCCCAAACCCACTTCCCTGTTTCCCTCAACCTCCCCAACTCCAACTCTCCACACACCCCACCCCTTTTCTCCCATTTGTTCCTCTTCACTCAGTCAACCTTTCTCTCCCCTTTCTCATCCTCACCAGTCCTTGCCTTCCCACTCTCCTCTCCCCCACCATCCACCCTGTCCGCTCCACCTTTCCTCTCTCCCTTCATCTTGCCCCTTCCCACTCCCTCTTGCCTTGTCAACTGCCTCTCTCCCCTCCATTCAAATCCTGTTCTCCCACACCTCCTTCTCAATTCCACACTCCTATATTCCCCTCCATCTCTCCTTTCACCTCAACCTCCTTCTGTCCCCTTCCTTCCCCGTCATCTTTCCTTCTCCTTTCTTCCATCCCTGTTTCCTTCCTTCCAACCTCCTCCTTATCTCACCCCTCCGTTCTCTTCTCTTCCTTCCTCCCAGTCCCTCTCCTCCTGCCCTCTAACCTCCCACCCGACTTCTCATATCCCCCCCCCCCCCCCCC